AATTCATCTACATTCTGTAATTGATATTATATATTTTTATATTTATAATAAACTCAGCAGGTTGTTTTGTTCCTTGACGTTTGTTCCACCTATGATGAAGTACATGGGCGACTACCCGTCCAAACGGACGCGCTCGGTCAACGAGTTGACGGACCAGATCTTTGAGGGAGCGCTGAAGGCCGAACCTCTGAAGGACGAGATCTACTGTCAGATCCTCAAACAGCTGACTGACAACCACGTCAAGTGAGTAAACCGACGCCATCGCTACATCAAGTCTGAGCTTCACGCTTCACACTTGCACAAAGAATCGACAGAGAACATTGCAAACAGTGACACACACACAAAGTATTATTACACGTGGATTTAAAACAATAAGGTTCATTTTTCTAAAACGGTCCAGGTCTCTGCAGGTTTGTTTCTGCAGCGGCTGACTGCGAGTTGTGTTCTCCTGCAGGTACAGTGAGGAGAAAGGCTGGGAGCTGCTGTGGTTGTGCACTGGTCTGTTTCCTCCCAGTAACGTGCTGCTGCCTCACATCCAGCGCTTCCTGCAGTCGAAGAGACATCACCCGCTGTCTGGAGACTGTATGCAGAGGCTGCACAAAGCTCTACGGTAGAACAACACTCCGACTCTGTTTTCAGGGAAACGTGCATCATATGTCTGGTTAATGTTTAGGATGGTTTTAAAAACAACTAAGAGGCAGGATGTTGAATTTCTCTTTTTTAACATAAATTATTTTACTTGATTTATTTTAACTTAAAAATGTGTTTTGCTCGTTGGCACTTGTATGTTTGAGTGATGTATGTTTGAGTGATGTATGTTTGAGTGATGTATGTTTGAGTGATGTATGTTTGAGTGTGTAAAGGATGCCGGAGGAAAGATCTTCTGAATTTACCTTAAATCCTCGTCTCCTACAAATAAGAGCGTAAAACACAACACGTTGAAAAACGAGTCAAATATTTGTGTTGGACGTTGAAGTTTAAAACTTCCAGTCGATGTCTTGCATCTATAAGTTAAGGTCCACACTTTGAATTTGATTTTGAGAATTTAAATCACAATCAATACTCACAGGTCAGAAAACAGGTGTAAACTATTTGAAGCTGAAAACTTTTTCATTTTCCATGAACCACAATACCTTTAATTTGTCCTTGTCGTCGTGGTAACAGTAACGGATCCAGGAAGTATCCCCCTCACCTGGTGGAGGTGGAGGCCATCCAACATAAAACAACACAGATCTTCCACAAAGTCTATTTCCCCGACGATACAGACGAGGTACGACACACAGACGAAGATCAAATATGAGACGGTTTGTACCGAGTGTTTCAGTGTTTGTCTGAAACCTGCAGGCGTTCGAGGTGGAGTCCAGCACCAAAGCCAAGGATTTCTGTCAGAACATTTCCACCCGGCTGCTGCTCAAATCTCCTGAAGGATTCAGCCTCTTCGTGAAGATCTCAGACAAGGTCAGAGGTCAATGAGTTAAACGTTAGAAACCTGTCGCTGCCTGGTCAAAGCAGGTTATCCAGGTCAGGGTGGAGATGATAGGACGGATATTAAACGTCCTCTAAAAGTTTTGGTTAAATCACTTTGCTCCTCTCAGATGTTGTTTAATTTCCCAAAAAAGAAAAGTTGAATTGTTTAATGTGTTTTCTTCTCCTTGCCCTTTTCTGTCTTCATCTTCTGTTGTTACTTGAGTCCTCAGATCTGTTTTTATCTTAACAATCCCACACACATATTCTTATATTCCTCTTATTTCAAAAATATATATTTTTAGGTTTGTCTGGAAACTTCTTTCAGTTGCATGACTTTTATGTTAAGACACAAACGATTTGAAGTCATTTCTGTTTGAAACCTTTATTCACTGTGTTCTGCAGGTGATCAGTGTCCCAGAGGGAGATTTCTTCTTTGACTTTGTCCGACATTTAACAGACTGGATCAAGAAATCTCGACCAGCGAAGGACGGTTGGTTGCAGCTTCTGTTTTACGTCTGTAGAAATGTTTTCAGATCAACTTCATCGTTTGTTTGTCTTGTTCTTAACACACTGAAAAAACCTGACGTGTCACCAGACAGTTGCTCGTCATGTTTATTCAGGTTTGCTCGACGTACAAAACTAAGTATTGAAATAGCTCAAACAAAAACATCACGACTTTTATTTTTTGGTTTGAAGGTTAATCACTTGTATGATTCTTGTCCCGCAGGTATTGTCCCCTCTCTGACTTATCAGGTGTTCTTCATGAAGAAGCTGTGGACCAGCACAGTTCCAGGGAAGGACTCCTTCGCCGACTCCATCTTCCACTACTACCAGGTCGGTCTCAGGAGACAGTACTTCAATTATACTCACTGTTTTTTAAATTCAACTCAATTATCATCTCTAACTGATTAGAAATGATTGGTATTACGACTTCACTTGAACTGTACCATTGTGATATCAATGTATTTATATCAGGAGCTGCCTAAATACTTGCGTGGCTACCACAAGTGTTCACGAGAAGAGGTTTTCCAATTGGCAGCGCTCATCTACCGCGTCAAGTTTGAAGACGACAAATCTCACTTTCCTACAATTCCCAAGATGCTTCGGGAGCTGGTTCCCCAGGACCTGATTCGTCAGATGTCCCCGGATGACTGGAAAAGAGTAAATCTGCAAAACTCCAAACAAAACTGATATTAAATACTTTTAAATACTTTTAAATTAGTCAAATGATGTGTAATTTATACTTTTGCATGATTTATTACCTATTGTAATTTATTATTATACACAAAATAATAAAGCTTCCTCGTACAAACGTTAAAGAAATATTCAGCTTGCTTAGATTTTAACATGAACAAATTAATTATTATTTATGTACTAGATGTTAATTCTTTACCTTTATTAATCTTTGCTCTGAATCAAGACGTGGTTTAAATTAATCAATGATTAAACCTGCGTGTGTGTGTTACAGTCTGTGGTGGCGTACTTCAACAAACAGGCCGGTAAATCCAGGGAAGAGGCCAAACTGATGTTTCTGAAGATTATCTACAAATGGCCGACCTTTGGCTCCGCCTTCTTCGAGGTCAAGGTAAACACACATAAAGTCATCCGTCTAACATTCAATATAAAGCACATAACATAACATAACATATGATAAATGATCAGCGGATGTTCAGACAATCTGTTTCTTGTCTTTAGCAAACCACAGAACCCAACTACCCAGAGATCCTGCTGATCGCCATCAACAAACATGGAGTCAGTCTCATCGACCCCAAGACCAAGGTCTGTGTTTGAATCAGTCCAAGTTCACCAGAGACAAGATGATATGGACATCATGGACTTTCTTTAATCACGAGATTATCAAGGTTTAACTGTGTGTGTGTGTGTGTGTGTGTTTGTGTGTGTGTGTGTGTGTGCAGGACGTCCTGACCACACACCCCTTCACCAAGATCTCCAACTGGAGCAGTGGCAACACCTACTTCCACATCACCATCGGCAACCTGGTCAGAGGAAGCAAACTGCTGTGTGAGACCTCACTGGTAGGACACACACTCTCTCTCACACACACACACACACACACACACACACACAGTGTGATGCGTTCGCCATCGTCAAAACACCAAATGAGGTCAAGTCATCCTGTCTATCCATGTCTGTGTTTCCATGACAACTGCAGGGTTACAAGATGGACGACCTGCTGACCTCTTACATCAGTCAGATGCTGACCACCATGAACAAGCAGCGCTCCGGGCGGGGCCACAGCAAGTGAACTTCTTACTGGCGGGAGGCCGCTGAGCTCATCCGGCACTTGCGCCCTATAGGCCAGCACTGCAGCTGGGGGCGGACCTTCGCCCACCAGCTGTGGAGGATGAGCCGCAGTCCTTCTGCTAGCTCCCAAGGGTCAAAGGTCTCTGGGGAGAGTTCGGCCGCCAGCAGCGACGACCCCGGCGAAGGCCCCAGCAACTATTACCCCCGCAAATACAACTACGACGAGGACGAGCCGTCCAGCGAGGATGACTACCTCTAACACTCCAACGTCTTCGTCCAACAGGTCGACAGTCAGACCTTCGTGTAGAGAAACACAGCGTGGAGTCAGTTCTGCCTCCACGTGTCCATCATTGGACTGATTCAGATCAAAGCATCGACTCTTGGATCTAGATGTCAGATCTCTGCCAAGTTCAGATGACGCAACCGTGATTTCTGTGCAGGTCCCACCACTCGACCTGCTTGGAGTTTTGTAGTCGTTGTGACGACTGACTGTCGACAAGAGGTCGCACTCTACATCGTCTTTCACCATGAGTGACCCCGACTGCGTCTGTTGTCTGAACCACCCTCACAGAACGAGGCTTCACTTTCTGTTCAGTGATTTAAAGAGTTGTGAAAGATTTCGGGCTCAACATCGTCTCAGATCATCACACGTTTCTCTGCTCCGCTCTCTGACTGCTGTGGTGAGAACCTGTCCTGTAACACCAGCATGTTAAACGCTGTGTGTTTAAAACACGGATATAAAAACATGTCTTGTTAAATTTATTTGCCTCCGAAGTTACTGAAAAGCCTTAAATTTAATCTTGAATATTTTCTCTTGGCTGCTGTAAACTTAACTGTTAGTTATGATTTAAATGAAAAGTTGAACGGCCACATCAAGTGATTTATTATATTGTTTTATACAACTGGGACTTCTGGTCAAATGTTATTTCAAAGATAATAAATACATAAACTTAAAGAATAATTGTCCCTAATGATTTTACATCTTTAGAAGAATGGTTGTATTAAATTCAATCATATATGAAATTAAAAAGCTCTTAGATTTAATTGGCTAAGTTAAAATGCACGTTAACATATGAATCACATCACATGATCAGATTCACTTTTTGAAACTCTGTCCGGTCCTGTGCATCTTAAAACTGACAAAGTTCAAAAGTTTAAAAAGGTTTTTTGTCGTCTGTAACTGTAGCGTTGATCTTTGGAGAATATTTTTTCAGTTCCCTCTGACTCTGAATTACTGACTTACACCTGTCCCTGATATTTATGACCTAAACTGTGTGTAACCATTTCATTTCTGACTGTTTTTTAGTTGACATCTCTTTTGTTTAATGTTGTTTAATATTATCAGCTGTAGATTTTTTTTAATTTAATTTCATGCCTTAATTGTTTATTTATGTAGAGACTACATTACCCAGCATCCAATGGGGTGCAGCTGCTGTTTTCATGGGGCTTTTCTAACGTTCCTGTCAGGCTGCTATAGCTAAAACGTCTTTTAACAAAATACTGTCACGATCACGGCCCAAGAGTTGTTGTTTTTTTTACCGTTGTTACAAATGTCATTTGTCTTCTGACGTGTCGAGATGACTGAACGAACACGTTTCACTCAGTCATTCATGAGGAATATTAAGAAGTAAAAATAAATCACCTCCCAGACGCAGATGGAACCTGAGCTGGTTTTTGAAAAGTTGCTCAAAGTAAAAATGTTTCTATTGACTCAAATGTTTTTCTTGTTTTAAATGTCTCGGTAAAGAGTTGGACGCCTGTTTTCAGCAGCACCGGTGCCTGACGGAGACATTTTTTACACCAGAGTCAACACAGATGAATTTATCTTTGAGCTTCTTTAAATTAAGTCGTGCAAAGTGCATAAAGATTTTCTAATCTTAAATTGGATTGTTGTGGTTTTTGTTAAAACTTTCTGGCATTTTACACAGAACAGAACGGAAGCGTATTGAATTCATTTGACAAAAAAAAAACTTGGTTTGACTTAAAGACAGATCAAAACCAGATCAAAGTCAAACTTGATTAAACTAAACAAGTTGGTCATGTTTGTTTCCATGATATCGAGCTCTCAATAAAAGAATGAATGCATCGATTGTTTCAAATGCTCTCTGAACTCAGAAAAAAAATGAGTCTGAAAAACAGAAGAAAAAAAAGAGTCAGAAAAACAAAAAAAGAGTCAGAAAAACTGAAAAAAGATTCAGAAAAACTGAAAAAAGTCAGAAAAACAGAAAAAAGAGTCAGAAAAACA